TCTTTTGATGAGTGGTAGCATGGGTTATCATTTTTCATCCTTTAACTTTTTAAAACAACTTTATTTATAAATTCTTATACCATATCATTTACTGATTTAAAATGTGAAATTCACTGGCTTTTAGCATATTCACAGAGTTATGCATCTATTACCATAGTAATTTTAGAACATTTTCATTAGCTCAAAAAGACACCCCGTGGCGCTTAACTGACACCCCCTCCAACCTCCCCACGCCACCCCCAGCCCTGGCAACTCTTGATCAGCTTTCTGTCCCTAGGATTTGCCTGTTTAGATGTTTCATATAAATGAAATCATGCAGTATGTGGCCCTTTGTGCCTGGCTTTTTTCATGTAGCAGAATATTTTCAAGGTTGGTTTGTATTGTGCCATGGATTAGTAATTCATTTCTTTTTATTATCAAGTAACACTTCCTTGTATGGATAGACTACATTTTACTTATCCATTCATTAATTGATGGATGTTTGGATGGTTTCCACTTTTTGGCTATTATGAACATTTGTGTACAATTTTTGTGTGGATGTATGTTTTCATTTCTCTTGGGTCTGTATCTAAGAGTGGAATTGCAGGACCATATGGTAAGTGTATGTTTAACTCTTTGAGGCTCTGCCAGGCTGTTGTCCACAGCAGCTGCACCATTTTACATTCCCACCAACAATGCACAAGGGTTCCAGTTTTTCTATATCTTTGCCAGACTTGTTATTTTCCTTTTTTTTTGCTTGCAGCCATCCTAGTGGGTGTGAGGTGCTATCTCATTATGCTTGGACTTGCGCTTCCCTGATATATGTTGATGTTGAGCATCTTTTCATGTGCTTGTTGACCATTTGTTTATCTTCTTTGGAGAAATGTCTGTTCAAGTCCTCTGTCCATTTTTTAATTGGGTTGTTTGTCTTTTTATTGTGGAGTTATAGGAGTTCTTTATATATTCGGAATACTAGACCATTATCAGATATAAGGTTTGAAAATATTTTCTCCTATTGGGTAGGTTGCATTTTCACTTGATAGTGTCCTTTGATGCACAAATGTTTTAATTTTGGTGAAGTCCAATTTATTTTTTGTTGTTGGTTGTGTTTTTGGCGACACATGTTCCCATTGTCAACAAGGTCATGAAGATTTATTTATCCGTGTGTTTTCTTCTAAGAGTTGTGGTTTTAGTTCTTTATGTTTAGGTCTCTGATCCATTTTGAGTTAATTTTTTTTTTTTGAGGAAGATTAGCCCTGCGCTAACTGCTGCCAATCCTGTTTTTGCTGAGGAAGACTGGTGCTGAGCGAACATCTGTGCCCATCTTCCTCTACTTTATATGTAGGACGCCTGCCACAGCATGCCGTGCCATGTCTGCACCCGGGATCCAAACCAGCAAACCCCGGGCTGCTGAAGCGGAACGTGTGCACTTAATCGCTGCGCCCCTGGGCCCGCCCCTATTTTGAGTTAATTTTTGTACCTGATGCAGAGTCAGGATCCAACTTCGTTTTTTCCTGTGGATTTCCATCTGTTCCAGTGCCGTTTGCTGAGAACTGTTCTTTCATCACTGAATCATCTTTGTACCCTTGTCAAGGGCAGATGACCCCCAAGCAAGGGTTTCTTTCTGGACTCTCTTGTGCCCTTGGTCTATAGTGTCTGTCCTTATGCCAGTACCGCACTGCTTTGATCATTGTAGCCTCATATTAAGTTTTGAAAGCCAGAATTTGAGTCTTCCCACTTGTTCTTTTTCAATATTGTTTTAGCTGTTCTGGGCCCCTTGCAATTCCTTATGAATTTCCATTTCTGCTGAAAAAGGCCATTGGAATTTTGATGGGGATTGCATTGAATCTCCAGTTAATTATCTTTTAAAGGGACTTAAATAATAAGATAAACAAGTCATTTACCCACATAATTACCATTTCTGGTGCTTTTCACTCCTCGTAAATCTAGATTTGCATCTGGTGTCGTTTTTCTTTGCCTGAAGGATTTTAACACTTGGCAATGCAGGCCTGCTGGTGATGAACTCTTTCAGCGTTTGTTTGTCTGACATCTTTGTTCCACGTCTGTTTGTGGACAGTGTTCAGTGGCTAGAGCACTGTGGTTGATGGGTTTGGTTTTTTTTTTCAAGATATTGCTCCACTGTCCCCAGGCTCATCAGAGGAGTCCGCTGTTATGTTTGCTGTCTGCCTTCTCTTCTGGCTGATGTTAGTCTTCTCCCTGCATCACTGGTTTTCAACAATTTTGTGATATGCCTTGGTGTAGTTTTCTTCATGTTTCTTGTGCTTGGGGGTTGACGAGCTGCTAGTATTTGTGGATTGATAGTTTCCATCAAATCTGGGAAATTTTTAGCCAGCGTTTCTTCAAGCCTTCTTCCTGCACACCCCTCTTCCTGCCCCCGGGACGCCCGTTACTGTGTGCAGGGTGCCTTGCGTGGTCCCTCAGCTCGCTCGTGCTGTTTGGTTTTCATCCTTCTTTTCTCTGAGTGTTTCACGTTGGGTAGACTCACTGCTTCTTCAGGTTACTTGCCTTTTCTTTTGCATGCGTGATCTGCTGTTAATCCTGCCCAGGTGCCTTTTCATCTCCTGCCTCCTGAGCCTGCGGAACTCAGGCCCGCCGTGTCTCGCACTGTCACTCGGTCAGTCTGGGCTCCTCTCGACCTCTAGACCGTGGACTGGCTTCCCTGACCCTTTGTGGGCCGAGTCGCCTGTGACCGGGTGCCAGGCTCTGCATTTCGCCATGTCGGGAGAAGGTGCCGTTACTCCTGTGTGTGTTCTCCACTTTGCTCTGGGATATAGTTTGATCCTTTTGGGTTTTGCCCTTAGGCTTTGTTGGTTGGGACCAGAGTGCATTTCCCTGGCTCCACAGTGGCCTGGCCCTGTGAGTGCTCCCCTCTGGCTGGTGGAACAAGTGTGGCTTCCTGCCTGTGCAAGCCATGAACTGTCCCTCCAGGTGGTCCTGCCGTCCTCCATGGCTTCCCTTCAGGCTCGCGCTGGCCGTCTGTCCCCTGCAGAGACACGGGGCTCGGGGCTCGGCTGTCCACGGATTGGCCGCCTTTGCTGCCTTGTTCACCGTCTTCCAGCACCATCCCCTCCACTCAGGCCTCCTGGCCGCCTTGGTCTCTCTGCACCGTGGCTAGAGCTGCTCCTTGCTCCTGGGGATTGGGGGCCGTTGTGGAGCACCCCCCGTGCCCCGCCTTTCGTTGCCTGGTGTCCAGCGACTTGAACACCGATCCTCAGCCTCCTGGAGTTCCGTTACTTTTAGTTCTCCCCACGGGAGGTAGATCTGATGCGGGGTCGGTGAGCCAAGGAGTTGAAAGAAAGATTTCTTAGGCTCTTAAGATCGGGCAGTAGTGCTCTTTTATTTAGAGAATAGAATAGCATGGGGACAGGACCCATGGGCAGTCAGAGTTTCTGCTGCCCCAAGTTGAGGGTTAGAGCTAAATTTAAGGCATAGGTATGTGAGTTATCTCTTTACAAGACAAAGAATATGTAAAAAAGTTAAAGGGGTATCAGTGCCAGTAGGGTCCGGCCATTTGGCGGTCCCACAACTTTTGGATAAGAATCAAACCGGATTGAATAAATGGCAGAAGTCACCGCTTGAATTTTATCCTCAGCTAAAGACAAAGGAGGATTTGGGGGGGGGGGGGTCAGTTACATGAGGTTGCCAGACAGTAACCAACTTAAGTTCTTGCCTCTGGCATTGATTAAGAGCTTCTAGAGATAAGACCATCCCCCTTCTTCCTGACACAGAGAGGGAGGCATCTTCACAGATAGAGGTTTCCCTTAGAAATGTAAATGTTTCCCAACAAAGGGGCAAACAAATTCCACTCCTTGGAGCCTGAATCTCTTCTGTAGTTTTAAAACTAACCAGCCTAAAAATCCTCATCATAAGCCATTTTAAAATTAAGCAGCCTAAAAATCCTCATCAGATCCAGTCCCTGTGGCTGTTTTGTCTTGGCGGGAGGTGCAAGTCTCCAGCTCCACTGTCTTTGAGAAGCCGTGTGGAGCTCCTGGGCCAGGCTGGGAGCTGGACAGAGGTGAAGATTCGGGCCTAGGCCAGCAGGCCCAGACTTGTGTCAAACAGGAAATGGGTGGAAATGTTCCTCTCTCTCTCAAGAGATAAGGGCCTCCGTCTCCAGGAATCCTCTCTCAACTTGCTTTCCTTCCCTGAGCCAGGAGCCCTGTAGAGAGAGAGCGTCTCCCAGAGGTCTGCATGGTGGCCAGTGGGTAGGGGCCTCTGGAGAGGATGGAGAGTGAGGCCTGCCGGGGTCCCGTCCTGGCTCCTGGGGTGGTGCAGAGTGGGAGGGAAGGAGAAGCAGAGGCGCTTTCTGGGGGCCTGGCCCCTCTCCTGTGGGGACATGACCTGGTGGGAGGTCCCGTCTGGGACCCAGGTGTGGACTGGGCAGGCTGGCACCATTTCTGATTGCCGTTGCTCATGGACTCCTCCCTGAGCTCCACAGCCCTCACTGGGTCTGTGGTGGCATCCTCTCCTCTCTGCCTGGGTCTTCAGCTCTGCATCCAGGCCCTGGCCAGGCGAGTGGAGTCTCCTGACTTGGGACATGTGGTCCTGTTGGCTGGTTCTGAATGTCCTGGTTCACGTTCCTGTCCCCTCACTCGGGCCAGGCCTGGATGAGTGAACAGAGGCGTCAGGGTCAGGCAGCGGGGGAGCATCTCACCGAGCCTCAGTTTCCCCATCTGGAGGGGGCCTCGCACCCACCCTGGTCCTAGGGGCTTCCCTGCCCAGCCCCCAGGCAGGGCCTGGTTCCGCAGAGGGACTGTGCTGCAGCGATGTCAGCTGGGCCTCCTCTCCGTGTGTTCCACTGGGGGTCCCACCCTTACCTCGCCCCCTCCTTGCCCAGTCTCCAGGCCGGTCCTTGACTTGCTAGGCCCTCTTTAGTCCTGCCCCTGGGATCCCCAGACCCTCTGCGTCCCATCTGTAGGCCCCTCTACCCCTCCTTAGCCCCATGTCTGGCCACAGGACTGGTGCCGGGCTCTCTCTCATGAGCGTCTTGTCTCTGCCAGGCGTTCGGACAGGCGCACACAAACCACAAGAAGGTGGCCGCAGACGGCGAGAGCCGGGAGGAGAGTCTGATCCAGGAGTCGGCCTCCAAGGAGCAGTACTACGTGCGCAAGGTGCTGGAGCTGCAGACGGAGCTGAAGCAGCTGCGCAACGTGCTCACCAACACACAGTCGGAGAACGAGCGCCTGGCCTCAGTGGCGCAGGAGCTGAAAGAGGTTAGCAGTGGGCCTGGGCGGGGCCTGGGCGGGGTGAGGGTGTCTGTGGACTCGGGCTGGGATGTGGGCTGCTGAGAGTTGGGGGTGGGGGACCACACCATCAGTCATCCCACCTGCCCGCCCAGCCTCTCATGGTGCGGAAGGGCCCGAGTGGACGGTCCCAGCTCTGCACTTGAGCTAGTGTGAATCCTGGGTCCCACGGGCAGCCAGCCTGTTCCTCTTCCGGAAAACAGGACTGTAGCATCTGCCTGCCAGCTCCTGACATCGAAGTCAGAAGGGGCTGCCATGAATGGCTCCCGGGACCAGCTTAGCCCCTCATGGGCACCTGGCCATGAGAGGCCTGGCTGAATAGAGAGGGGAGGGCAAGCAGTCAACTGCCCTCAGAGGGAGGTGGAAGCCCAGGCTGCTGCCCCCAAGATGGGGTGAGACAGTGGCAGGGTCAGCAGGCGTAGCCAGAAGTCCACATGAGTGCAGTCCTGGCCGTGGTCTTGGGGACCCTGGTCCTTGGAGCCCCCAGGTTCTCATCAGGAAGGGTGAGAGGCCTTGTTCTGGGCCCAGGGAGACCCACCCTCTACTCTCTGTTCTCTTGGGGGGCAGTGACAGGTGACCAGATGGGTAAATGGTTCTGAGCGGTGGGCAGCTCTGAGGTCAACATCTCAGACAGGAGAGTTTGTGGTGGTCAGGGTCCCACAGAGCTGGGAGGGGACACTGGCGAGGTTTGGGACGGAGCCCAAGGTCTGACAGCAGCAGGCAGTGGGCAGCAGTCACCGTCCCTCCCCTGCTGCAGTTTGGGGTCAGCCTGTTGCCCGAGTGGAGCTTGGCCTGCATCCATTGGGTGGGCAGCCCTTGGAGGCTGGGAGCCAGAGTGCACGATCTGGTTTTCTCCTTTGGGATTGCTGTGGTCGGGGTCAGGGGAGGAGGGGCCTTGGTGCTGTCGGCCAGGCCCCTTTTTCCAGAAAAGCCCGGCCAGGCCCCTTTTTCCAGAAAAGCCAGTACAGGCGGTCTGCCCAGCCTGGGCACATTCTGCCCCTTCCCTCTTCCAGGAGGGCCTGTTACAGGCTGTCAGGAGGGCATGGATCCTGCTGACTCCTGGCTTTGGGCATCAGGAAATGAGCTCAGCCCGTCCTACATGCTGTGAGAGAAGAGCAGGTCTGGTGGGGCCGGGATTCCTGCTGTTCCTGTTGGGGCATCAGGAAGAAGCCTGCTGCTCCCCGCCCCGTGCACCCCGCCCCACCTGTGCCCTTCGCAGGCATTGTGGGATGGGCCGCATGGAGCCTTCTTGTGTTCCTGGTTTGGGTGGATGTTCCTCACTGCCACCTGCTTGGACCAGAACCCTGGTCACTGTCCCCACCATCATCAGCTCTGTCTGTCCCCGTCACTCTTCTGCCAGTCCTGGTCCTGTCACTTCGGCTTGAGCTGCTGTGCTGAGCTCCTCGGTGGCCTCAGGTATGGTGATCGCCCCCCCACACACCATCATGAGGCTCACACCCAAGGCTCAGGCCTGGCTGAGGAGCTTGGACCAAGAGGACATGATGTCAAGCACTGTCCTCCAGAAGCACCAGCCCATGCCTGCCTTGGTGTGACCCGGCCACGCAGGCCATGTGGGGTCGCCCGAGGAGATAAGCTTCCACGAGGAAGGTGTCTGCATCCCGGGGCCCAGTCCTGCCACTGTCCACGTTCAGTGACTGATGGACTAGCCACGCTGTGCCCTCTGACCCACCCCCATCCTTCCTCCCTGCGATGACGGACTTAGGTGTCGATCTCCTCATGCCCAACTCTCCAGGAAGACCCTGTGGCCTCTGTCATGTGGCCCCTGTAACGGTCAGCATGTGGGACAGTTCCAGCTGCCCATAACTCATAACTCATCTGCTTGGTGACTCTCTGGGCTTCTGGTCACTTCCTTCATCTCACAGGTGGAGAGACCAAGGTGCTGTGTTCCTAAGGTCACTGGGCCGGCAGCTCTAGGGTCCTGACCTCTGACTTCTGCACAGTATGGACAGGTCCAGCCAGCTTTGGTCCTAGGACGTGGTCTTGGGCTCCATTTTGCAGATGGAGAAGTAGAGTCCCAGGGAGCCAGCTGGAGGCAAAGTCAGGTTAAGAAGACCAGCGTCCACCTGGATAGGGTGACTGGTCCACTGTGACCCTGCCCTGGCTGTATCAGTGGACCCCATCCTTCCTGTCCCACTGGACCCTGTCCTGGCCTTCCTGGTGGACCCTGTCCTTCCTGTAATGGTGGACTGTGTTCTAGTGGACCTCTGTGAGTCTTGGGCCCTGCACATGCCCAGGAGTGAGTGACAGAGATGTCCCAGCAGAGTCCCCTCTCTCACCCACCGCATGGGTCGGGAAAGGGCTTGTCTCCTGCCTGCTGGCATCTGGGCTGCGGGAGCCTCCTGGAAGGAAGCTGAGCATCAGGTCACAGCTGAGGTGGCTGGTGGGTCAGCAGGGGCAGTGCTGGCAAGCTCTGCAGCATGGGGTGGATGAGCTGGGACAGGAGGACACCCGTGTCTGGAGCCAGGGGATGGAGGATGGGGACTGTCATGTGGGTAGGTGGCCCAGAGACAGGAGGGGACGGGTGTGTGGAGGAGGCAGCAGGGGTGGGGCCCCGCAGTGGGAGGAGGAGCTGGAGGCCTGGATGGGTCCTGAGGGAACAGACCCTGTGAGGAAGCACACGTTCCTCCTGGGGAGCAGGGCTGGACTGACTTGCTTGGGGCACGTGCAGCATTCCCCCAGGAGATCAGGGCAGTTGGCGAGGGAGTGTCCGCAGGGGCAGGGTGGACGCCCCTGCCTGGGCAGCCTGCACAGGGTGAGCTCACTCCACCCCCACCTGTGAAATTACACATGAGAAACACTCCCTGCCCGGGCACGTTGGGGTTCCCCAGATTCTCAGGACCCCCAAGGGAAGGTGCCCCCCGTTCTGTTCCCCCTCAGACCCCGGCTGGTGCCCAGCAGTTGCAGTTGTGGGTACCAGGGCTTCCTAGGAGCCGATATCTAGTTTATTACGTTTACCTAATTTTAAGATTTTATATTTTTCCTTTTTCTCTCCAAAGCCTCCCGGTACATAGTTGGATATTCTTAGTTGTGGGTCCTTCTAGTTGTGGCATGTGGGACGCCACCTCAGCATCGCCTGATAGGCGGTACCATGTCTATACCCAGGACTTGAACCGACGAAACCGTGGGCTGCCTGCAGCGGAGCGCGCGAACTTAACCACTTGGCCACGGGGCCGGCCCCCGTTTACCTAATTTTAATGACGTGTGACCAATCCCGTGTGCATCATGGCTGCAGTGTGCACAGAGTTCTGGAACCTTCCCCGGCCCTGCAGAAGCCACATTGCCTGGCCTCTCCCAGGACTCTGGTCAGACTAGCTTCAGTGTCTGCCTCAGGACAGTGGGCCAATCCTGGGCAGTCACTCATCACCTCCCTGGAACCCGGTGGGACAGGGGTGGCAGGAGGCAAGGCTGGGCCCAGGCCCACCGGGCCCAGAGGAGAGAGCCCCCACCCCTGGGATTGCTGCCCCTGCCTTGCCTCACTGTGCTGTCTGGCTGGCATGGTTGTTGCTGGTCCCCAGGTCTCCTCCCCACGTGCCCTCCTGACCCTGGTCACCTTGCTCCCCCTCCCCTTGCCCACCAGAGCCCCTGTGGCCACAGCCCAGGCTGCAGGACTCCACAACCCAGGGTGTCGCATCGCTGCTCCAGAACATTCCGGGCAGGGAGTCCCCCTGCCGTGTCTGTCCCAGGGCCTGGGGCCCCCACCATGGGCCTTGGTCCCTCCTCCAGGAGTGGACTGGGAAAGTGGGTGGAGGCCCGGCCAGAAGAACAAAGGCCTCACTCGTTGTGGTCCTGCACTGTGACCTGCCAGTGCCTCCCACCCTAAAGCTGCTTCTCTGCCCTCTGGTGTGAGTCCCGTCTGCGTGCTCCTTTGTGGGCCTCTGCATGGTTTCCTGTGGAAGGGGAGTGTCTGCCCACACCCCCTCAGGGCACCAAGGGGGCGGAGGCGTGAGTGTGCGGGGTGACACAGGGGCTCTGAGGGGCACAGGAGACGTGACTGACCCAGCAGATCCCTGCTGGGTTCCCGAGGCTGGCACAGTCACACTGTTTTTGCCAATGAGTAACTGAGGTCCAGAGGTCCCGTGGAAGGGGGAGCTGAGGTGGGACCCCTTGCGCCCACCTTCTCCATCTGGCCTGCGCCACGTCGGGTGAGGCCTCCCATGTCTGCTGTGGCTGCCCCTCTTCAAGGCTGCTGTTGAGAGGCTCACCTGGCGAAGGTTCCCCCCCTTGGGGAACACCGAACCCCACGGTGGCCAGTTGGAGCTTGCCTGAGCCCTCAGTGGCTGGGCGTGTGCCAGGCGCAGGCACCCAGGCCTGGTGGTGCGGGGTGGACGCTCCATAGTCATGGGAAGTGCAGGGTGGGTGTTTGGGTCCAGCAGCTTCAGCAGACAGCTGCGCCCTCGCCTGCTGGCTGGTATCCTGGGGTAGCTTGTGACCTGGGCGTGCCTCACCCTGCTGCCCTTAGGGCCCACCTGTGGCCTTCAAAGACCTGCACGCCCTTTGTCAGCCCTGGTGCTTACGACAGGAGCCCTTGCTGGCCTGGTGACACATAAGGCAAGACAGGACTGCTGGGGCTCTGGAGACCTGCATGGGCCCCACTGAGCACATCTGTCCTGTCTGGAGCTGGGAAGGTCGCGTCTGCCTTGGCCGTGGGAGCTGCCCAAGTCTCTGTTTCCACACCTGGAGGGCCTTCCTGGTCTGCTGGTGTTGACGCGCAAACCCGTGGGGAGCTGGCGGGTTCCAGATCCTCCCCTTGGCTTCCTCCTCGCCTCGCCGGGTGGCCGTGTTGGGGCACGCCGCACGTGTTGGAGCCCGCCTGCGCTCCTAGCGCTGTGGCTTAGTGAGGAAAGCGGGAGGAGGTGCCAGGCGTTTCCAGCAGGGTCTGAGCAAGCCCTGCCTGTGTGTTCACGGAGAGTGCAGAGGCTCTATGTGGAGCGGTGGGGTGGGGCTCCAGG